TGTGTGTATATATATATATATATATATATATATATATATATATATATTCTTTTTCTCACATTTAATATATATTTGGTAATCATCAGAGGCAAGGCCACTACTCAAGACCACTGCCTTTAAGGAAAAAAAAAAGAACACTTACACTTCAAGTCAGAGTGTATATATCTAAAATTCTACCATTTAACATTTCATTTAGGCAGTTTTTATAAGGCACTTTCACAACTTCTTGTGATTCCCAACAACTTCAATAAGATAAGTATGATCCACTCTATTTTATGGGTAATAAAACCCAGAGAGATAAAATAACTTGCCTCAGGTCATAGCCTGTAATGGGACTCAATCTTAAATAATCCACTAGGCAATATACCATTCAGAGAAAACTTTTGTTTCCAACCCAAAGTACATTTCCATTCATTGTTGTAAAACACTAAAATCATGTAACCCTGACTTAAATATTACTCTGAAGTCTACAATCCTAGATTGGTGCGGGTACTGGAGATAAGTATGTCTCCTATATGCAGCTAGAGTCCGAGCCACAACAACAGGTCTAATAGAAAAGCAGGCTAAGAATCAGGACACCCCAACTCAGTGTCTTCATTGGTCTCCAGCTGCCCCTACTTCTCAGCTCCCCTTCCCAGTAAAAGTCCTCAGTAACAGTCATCAGTACCATCATTGATTCTCACAGTGTGGTATGCAGTTTGGGAATCCATGAAACTAATAAACCTTTTCATAACACTCAGACATTATTTGCCTTTTCCCTTCCATTCTCTTTTAAGTGTACAGTAGAGTTTTCTAGAAGTTTCATGATGAGAGACATGATTATAATGCAGAAGCATATATGAGAATCCAGCTGACTATTAAGGAAGATACTAAAGAGATTTGCAAAACTATAAAACAGTGCCCCATTCTGTTTCATGTGAAAAGTTTTTTTTCATAAATTATGATACTTATGTCAACATGCAGTCAATCTAACCAATATTTATATTCACTTGAAAGGAACATTTAAATTTGGCTAGTATCACAAATAGCCATAGTTTAGCACAAAACCTAAAACAAAAGCTCTCTGGAGTCCTCAGTTTCAAGTGTAACAGACCAAAAACTAAGAGTCATTGCTCTATTCTCTCACTTGCCTCCAATTATTCTTTCATTCCCTCTCAAACCAATTCTAATTAATGGTTTTCCCCATTACGTGCCACCAAAATTGTTCATGAGCACTAAGGATTTCCCAGTTGTTAAATCCATTGGTCCATCCAGTCCTCATCTCACTCAATCTAACAGCATATATGCCATGGCTGATTATTTCTTCCTCCTTCGGTATTTTCTTCACCTGGCTTCCAGGAGACCTTATCCAGGTCTCCGATCTGTGGTTTCTTTTCTCCCCAATCTTAATGTTGGATGGCTCAGAGCTCAGTTGTTCCTTGGAATCTCCTCTATACTCACTGTAGTACCATGGCCATCTCTAAATTTGTATCTCTAATAGGCATTCCAAACTTTCAGATGACTAAAACCTAACTCTCCAGCCAAACCTGTTCCTCCTAATGTCTTCCCAATTTCAGCCGAAGATGATGATAACTTTATCCTTCCAATGGCTTCCAAGGCCAAAACCTTGAAGTCATCCTCAATTCCTTTCTTACATTCAATGCAACAAGAAATCCTGTTGGCTAACTTCAAACACTCACCCCAAATCCAATAATCACCTCCCCTGCTCCTCTGTTACCTCTCACTGGGTTATTACAGTAGCCCCCATCCCATCCCCTCACTTGTCAACCCTGTAGCTTATTTTTAGCACAGAAGTCATAGTGACTGTTAAAAGATTAGATAACTGAATACTTACCAATGTGTTTCTATTTTACCCAAGACTAAAAGAATAGGGGTGTCGAACTCAATCAGAGAAGGGGCCAAAATCTAAAATCCAGCCTAAATCGCGGGCCGAATGGTTTACTGAACAGTCATAAACTGTCATTGTGATGGAAACGCAGTGGAGTGCAGTGATGACAGCGCGGTGCGGGCCACATTGCAAGGCCTGGCGGGACGGATTTGGCCCGAGGGCCTTGTTTTGACACATGTGGCCTAGAAGGTCTATTCTAATTGACTCCCAGTTGTCTCTCTGGGTTTTCTTCCTACACTTACTTCTTCCTTTACTATACTGGAAAGCCTTTAGGCTTGCTGTTTCCTCTGGAATGCTCTTTTGCCAGAATTCCTCATGACTCACTCTCTAAACTCCTAACCTTCATTGCTCAAATGTCACTGTTTCAAGAGATCCACCCTGATCTTTTCTACTTCAAAACACACCTCCAGCCCCACCTGACCTCCCAGCATTCTGATCTCCCTTATCCTGTTCTACGCCCACACCACCCCCAGCACTTAGTACTTTCTAACATATCACCTACGCTTATCTGTTTCCACAACTGCAAGAATTTGTTTTGTTCACTAATGTATATTCTGTGCCTAAAATCATCCCTGTCAAATAGTTTCCCAATAAATCAATATATGGAATCAGCTTCTCCATCTATAAAGCCTATTGGGAGAAAAAGGTATTTGGACTCAATAGACCTTCCCAATTTTAGCCAGTCAGATAGAGCTCAAATGATAATTCATTTGAAGCTTTTGGTTAATCCTCACTGGAGGTATTTTCCCCCACTGATTTTAGAGAATGGAAGGGAAAGCGAGGTAAGAAAGAGAAACACCAATGCAAGAGACACATCGATGGTTTGTCTCTGAAACACCTTTGATCCAGGCCATTATCAGGCCTGCAACCAGGTACATAGCCTTGACCGGGGGAATCAAACCCAGGCCACCCTTCATTCTGTGGACCAAAGTTCTAGCAACTGGGCCAAACTGGCCAGGGCATAACTGATTTGCATCTTTTAACATAAGGCTCAGCATCTGGTCACACAGACCGGGGCCCAGGCCCATAATTCTAAGTGCCCAGCTGGGGCAGGATAGGCTACACTCAAATAGGAACCAGAAGACCAGCTATTGTACTGTCTTTATTAGCTGTCAGCCTGGGACACTATGTACCGTACCTAGTAACTTTTTCTCCTCTCAAGGTCACCTATTTCTCTTTCTTGCAGGTACCACTCCTACTTAGCTACAACAGCACAAATCTCAAGTGTGGATGTCCAAATGCAAGCCATGATCTCAATTAGTTGTGACAATCCCATAATCCTAACCCAAGCCCGGGTCCCTCTTCCAATGACAACCTTCTTCCTATTGCAGGGCAAACTTGAATTCTAAGGGTTTTTTTAAAGTGTAAAAGATGAGATGGAAATGGGAAGTGACAGCATGAAATACAATTAAAACACTCTCTAGGCAACCCTTTTGGGGGTTTTAATATAGTATTAGCCCAAATCTAGCTTTAGGGAACATGATTCTCTTCCTCATTGGACAGGACTAGTCTGGCATCTGGAAGGTACTCACTCATAAACGTTCATGGAATGGAACAATTAAACCAAGTGACTCTAGAAATACATTCAGTGAGAACACTATAGATGTAACCAGCTCAACACAGTATTTACCAAGCCCAACTAGAAATATGAGGATGATAAAAGGAAAGGAGGGTGACTTAAAAACCCACCCAGATGACAGAGGGCTCTGTGTCTTATGTGCTGAGGCCCCCTCCTTCTGATCAACCACTGGGACTAGCCCCATCTCCATCACCTCATTTCAAGGCTTCAGAGAAATATAAGAGTAGTTTACTTCCAGTTTGCCATATTAATATTAAGAAAAAAGGCAAAAAAAAGGAGCGGCATGAGTAAGACATACCTGCCTTTAATTTAGTAGGATATAGAGTTGCAAAGGAGAAACAAAATGGTACATATGAAAAATACCTAGCAAATATGGGTCAATGTTCTTTTATTCCCTTCCCACAAGGAGATTTCTAAGGAAAAGAATTCTGACCAGAACACTAGCTAGCATTTGCATATACTGCCATTAATCTCCGACATCTATTACTTTCTTCTACTTCCACATCTGGCCAGTTGTCTTGCCAATTCTCTGCCTTGGAGATCAAGGCACTCCTTTATCCTCAGTGGTACCCAATTGCAGGTTCAACAACATCCCTTACTAGGGTGATTAAAACTGATCCAATTGGTCTCCACTCACCCAAATTGGTGGAGTCTCTCAAATGTGCTAAGGGCCCTCTGGCTTCAGGTTCTTTGCTGAGGGGCTAGATCTTCTATTTGGAATGCTCCTCCTTGCCCCCAATTTCCTACTCTTGCCTCTGGCCACCATCCCCTGAAAGGTCAGTTTTCCTTAACTCTTCTCCTTTGTTGCAGAGAAAACTATGATAAATAGAGTAGTGTTTCTCTCCCCAACTAAGCTGCAAATTTCCTGAGGATGGGGCAAATTTCTGGTGTTGCTTACCACTGTTACCCCAGAGCCTAGCACAATACTTGACAAGGGAAAGCTCACAATGAATGTGGGCAATAATTTGCCTAAGCAAAGCCTTCCAGGTAAGAATACACTGTCTTTATAGTGTATAAAATGGAAAAACCATCTGATATCTAGAGTAGGAAAATGGCTATATTATGGTACATATGATGAAAGCCATATTTTCAAAGTATGACCTGGGAAAATGCTCAGATGAGCATGGAATGAAAGAGCAGGAGACAAAACTGTTAACTAACCCCAGCATGGTCTAAACTCTGTAGAAGTGGATGTGCAAGTAGGAGGGATACAATTAGGGATGGCATTTATCCCCTGAAAAAAATTGCCCGTTACCTTTTTGTACATTTTCTACAGTAAGCCTTTATTAATTAATGAGAAAATGTTTCTAGGAAATGTAAGAACTCAACTCCAATGCAACTCCACTAGACATTCCAACTCACACTCAAATAATCCCACTTATCTCCTCTCATCAAGACTTTGGGGATCTTTGATAACAAGCCTTAGATCTCTTCGATCCTGCATTTCCCAAATCCATAAGGGCCCCGCCCCAGAGCCCGGGGTGAAAATCCAGTCCAGGAAGACTGCATGCACAACAAAAAGAGTACACTCACCTAGTTTAAAAACAACCAAGATGCTTTGCCCTGAATTTTAAGCAGCACATGTGACCTGGTCCATTCTGGTTTCAAGTTCAAAGGCATCAGGCCGGTCCTGTGGGTTAGCAGCTAACATATCTTTCAAGAGCTGCTTGATCCCCTCAGACATGGAAGTCCTGCGTTTCTGGGGGATGTGCAACTCCATCTTTGGATTTTCTAGCAGCGCCTCACCAACAGGGACGATCTCAGTCCCCTGTTTGATATAGGTCCCCAGGAGCTCCTTCTTGGTCTCAGAGTCAATGAAAGTGATTCTTTCTATCATTGCCCAGATGATAATGCCCAGGGCAAAGATGTCAGCCTTGGCTGTGTAGTGTCCCTCCCAGACTTCAGGGGCCATGTAGAAGTCTGAGCCGCAGGCTGAGGACAGCCAGTACTTATTCACATTCACATTTTTGTTGTTCTGATTACCCTCTTTGCCTCGGGGGGCTAGCCCAGCACAGACCTTGCTTAGTCCAAAGTCTGCCACCTTGAGGATGGGGGTGCCAGACCTCTCCGTGATAAGGATGTTGTCTGGCTTTAGGTCCCTGTGCACGATGTGGTTTTTGTGCAGGAAGGCAATGGCGCTTGTGAGCTGTAGCATGAAGCTTTTGTTGGTGGCTGGGTCCGGCCTCCGGGACAGGACGTACTGATTCAGGTCTCCACCTTCACAGAACTCCATGACAAACCAGAGATAACAGGGCTCCTCAGCATAACCCAGGATCCTTTCTCCTAAATCAAAGGAAGACCGGAAAGAGCTTGAGTGAGATGGGCACATTCACACCACCTTTAGGCTACAGGAATGCAGTCTATTACAGTTAAGAGTGACAGTGGTGACAACTGCTCCAATCCAGGAGGACTAGTAAAATTGGCATGAGCCAACTCTACACAGCCAGCCCATCTCTACTCACACAGGATGAGTGAAGGGACAAACCATGACACAGGCTGCAGGGACTGGCATCAAGCACCTGGATTTGGAGTTAAGGGTGCCTGAGTTGTAACTCTGGTTTACTGCTGACTGCGTGAACAGCCAGGAGGCAATGCAGTTTACCTTTCCATGTTTCTACTTCTGCTTCTTCACCTGTAAATGGCCACATGTAACCACTTACAGAGTGCCTACACTGGCACCTCACATTCAACTTAATGTTTACCACTACCTAAGGAGGTAGAAGGAAACAGCTTCATCTTATAAAATGAAGAACCTGTGGCTCAGAGACTTAGAATTCATACTCAAGTCCAGTTGACTGTAAAACCATTCCATTTCTTTATACTGTCTCCAACAAGGCAGCATCATACCACCCATACTTCCCAGGGCTGCTGGTGAGATAAGGCAAAGCATGTGAGAAGATTGTCAAATGTTCGTTACTCCATGCCAAGCAAATGACCTTCCCTCCCTTCTTTATTAACGTATATTGATTCTTGACAATACATCTAGAACTGCATACAATTCTGTTTGTTCCAGAGGCACACTCCAATTCATCAGTTTTCTGCTAGCCCACCATGTGCCTATCACAGTGAGTACACAACACTCCCATCTCCAATGAAGTTTGATTTAAAGAAGATTACCACTATTTCAAAGGTGGGTAGGAGTTGCCAGATCTAAAGAAATGAGAAGGGACAAGACTTAAGTTATCCCTAAAGGACAGGCTGTACATCAGCAGGGAGAAGAAAGAAGGGAATTCTAGGCTGAGAGATGGAATGGATTAACAGAACAAAAACAAATGAACTAGAGGTATAAATAGGAAGTCTGGTGGAAACAGTGGAGACTGAAGTAGATGTATAGGTGGAGTGTGTTAGCTTTAAACTCCAGCTCTTTTCTTTCCATCTTTCCTTTTGAACCATAAAAGCTGGTGACTGGCATCTCCACACAAATCCTAATATTCTTTTTTTTTTTAAGTTACTATCTTTTTATTTTTTCCATCATCATTTACTCCCTCTGTAGTCTTCCACCTCCACCCACGGTGCCCTTATGTGAAGTTATATGGTAACTACTAGTGCCCCAGAAGTTAAGCCTCAAGTAGACAGATGTCTTACCTAGCTGATGAGGCTGGGCCTGCCCAAGGTGGCCACATGGGTCATTCATGACTATGTCAGGGCCTGAGGACAAGTCCCATGATCCCCAGTATGGTATCTCCATTCTACTAAAAACGAGGGCTATACACAGCCTCTCCTGCAAGGTTTCTTTTTACTAGTTATTTACTCTGCTTCATTATAAAGAGAAATAGTGATCCAGGATATCCTGCCCCCTTCTAATCCAAATGGCACCCAAAGTACCAGAGCACAGTTTACCAAAGCCAATGGTTTAGGAGTTCTAGGTTAAAGCAATAAAATTGAAAAGGCAAAACCCTTAGGTTTCTGACCATGATCTGACAGGACTTATTTCCCCTGTAATTATATAATTTGTTTGTTTAATCACTCGCAATCAAAGTAATACAGGTAGAACCTGTGTAGGGCAGATGGGTTTTTCTTCTTTTTTTTTTAATCAGTTCTTTCCCATCACATAATCCTCTTTCTAGGTCATCGGCTATAGTGGGCTGAGGTTCTTTATCTAGAAACACTATAATAAAGTGGTGCTCTGAATCCTGAATCAAACTAGACTCCAGAATAAAAACTCATAACGAGGGGCAAGAAATGTCTGCTGGTGGTAGAGCCAGAAAGGAAAATATTTTAAAAACCATCAAATTGCAGAAAATAGTGCAATTTTTTCAATGAAACAGTGGGGAAAGAAAGGGTGGGGAGTGATTATTTTATATACAAAGCTGGGAACTATGGCAACTGAAGTAAAAAGAAAACAAGTCTGCAAAACAGACTACAATGTAAGTCCAAGTTATGAGAATCCAGGGAAAGAAAAAAGTACCCTAAGTGAGTGAATGGGTGGGGCAGATGGGACCCAGGACTGAAGAGACTCGGAAGTGAGCTAAGCTTAGGAGAGGCTTCGGGGTGGGGGTGGGGACTGTTTATTGAGAGGAAAGCACTGGAGAGGAAGAAACATTTTTAGAATCAGACACAGCATCCATGAGCATGACAGAATGGAAAACTGGGGAACGCAACTACTTGTCCTAGAGACAAAAAGTACTTCTTTGCACAGGCTTATTTCACAGGAGAAGCTGAAGATGTTTTCAGGTGGAGTCCCCAGCAGCCCACTAAAAAATAAATAAAAATGAAGAGACTGGTCAGACTTCCAGTCCTTTCCTTCAGGCAGATTGCCTACCTGTGCCTCTCTGTTACCTCACAGCAAGGTGGAGGGAGGGGAGGTGGCACTCCATTCATTTATTTCTCTCCAGAAGCAGGCCAAGCTAAAGTAGCAGGAAGAGCACAGACCAGAAGGCAAGGAGTCCCATGGGTTTACTGAGTGGTTTCTTGGTTCAAAGGAAAACATGGAGAGACTGAGGCATGATGGCTACAACTCTGGGCAAGTCCCTGAACCTCTCTGAGCCTCAATCTTGTAATCTACCAAATGGAAATGACACCTGCTCCACATATTACTGTGAGTTTAGTCACAGGCATGAAATACATTTTTCCAAGTGTAAGATACTTTGGGGCATCACATCCTGCCTACCACTAGCATCACTATTCCTACCAGATCTCAGCCTAATCCTAGGAAGTCACTGATTTCAACAATCCTGGTGCTGCAGGCCATGTGTTAGGCAAAAGATGAAACAGATCAGAAAATGAAAGTCCATGATTCCATATCACACTTCACAGGCCTATGGCCAAACCCAGAGCTAGACCAGACCACAATTTTTGTTAAGTGATCTCTATTTAAAAAGCATCCTCTCCCTAAATCTGCATGTACTTTATGGGACTAGCCTGAATACCAACCTTACACTTGCTTGATCTCCCAAGTAACTTTCCTCTTCTGAGCAGCCAAGGCCCTAGTCTTTTAATTTACCAAAGTGATTGATTTGGAAGAAGGGAATCTTTTGTGGAATTACCAAACACTTGTTCTGAAATTCCTGGGCCCCAAAATGTCACTGGGGTTCACCAGTCGGGCTTACAGAGGTCAGGTGATCCATGGAGCTTTTAGCACAGGTCCATCTCACAGTGGTCCCAGTGGGTCCCCGAGCCAGCCTGTGGTGATTTCCCCAGTTTCAGGATGTGTAATTGGAATAGCACATGCAGCAACTAGCAGAATCCCCAAACGAAATTTAGGTTTTTTTGAACTGATAGAAAGAAAATGAACTTGACTTAAGTTTTATAATTCCCTTGTTTGGTATAATCAGACAGTTCTATAAGATGAATGAGAGTTAAAAAAAATTTAGCTTCCCAGAGGGAAAGAAAATAGCAAGAGTGTTATTTGGAGGCTGTAAGGATTCAAGATAAGTTAACCTTTGAGAGTCCACTGGGTTGCAGGCACTATTTTAAAGGTTCATTATGTAAGTTGTCTCATCTCATTGGACACTGTTTAGAGGTAGTAAGCCTGAGAACATGAAATAGGGTGTCATTCTGCCCAAGGAGCAGGGAAAGGTGGGAGGAGAGGCAGGATGAGAATCATTGCAGAGTCCTTGAGCTGTGTCTCCCAGGATGAAGAGAGTGAGCAGAGCACAGTGGGGTGTGAGTTTGCAGAAGGACCCAAGAAATCTGGGGTAATCAGGAGAGCTGCAGTAGGAGATACCAGTAGTCACAAATGAGCCTGGAGATGAAGCTGGAGTCAGGTCAGAGAAATGGTATCTGGCAGACAAAAGGATTAGAAGTTCAACTGGAAGACATGGGAAGTAACTAAAAGTTCTTGATTTTAGAAAAGATACTGCTTATTGAACCTAAGAAATCATTGATTTTAAGACATGCCATTTAAGTAAGATCGACAGGCTGCTGACAACATCATGGTAGGCCATTGACAAAGCTGAGTTCTGACTTCAGAGATGTTAACACGTGAAAGAGCATGTCTGAGAATTGATGAAACAGTTCCCTCTGGAAGTATAAGGAGTTAAGAGTTGAAATACTCATCAGGAGGTTTTGAAAGCCAAAGAAGTGATGACTGCCAAGGGAGGGTTGAAAACGGGATGGGAGAATGAGGTCTTGAAGGTTTTTTGATGGACAGGAAGAATTCAGAGAGGACTCTAGCCAATCCTCTACTTCTTACTCCAAACCCCTACCTACTTAGAAGATAATTACATCCCCTGTAACAGATGAGGAAATTAAGCCTTAAAAGATTAAATAACTTGCCTATGGTTTCATAGCCAGCTAGCCTGTATTCTAATTGTGAGCTCCACTATGCCTCTTAGTGCCAGTAGCACAATTTAACACCTACATGTTTTATTTCCACTTTGACCCAAGCTCCTTGTTAAGTAGACTCTTATGTACAGGATGCTGCCAAGGAGTTTAAGGATTATTCATCCAATCCGATCCAGGTTCATTTTTCAATAAAAAGCTAATTATGATTTTAAATATGCTGAGATGCTAGATCAGAATATGTGTCACAGATCTTAAAAATGCTCAATCCATTTGACATAAAAATCCCATTCAAGCAATTTATTCTAAGTGAAGAGTACCAAAAAGACAAAAAAACAAAATCCCCTACCATCAACAGTAACAAAAAAGATACACCAAGTATGCTGAGATGCTAGATCAGAATATGTGTCACAGATCTTAAAAATGCTCAATCCATTTGACATAAAAATCCCATTCAAGCAATTTATTCTAAGTGAAGAGTACCAAAAAGACAAAAAAACAAAATCCCCTACCATCAACAGTAACAAAAAAGATACACCAAGTACCAAAAACAACCAGAA